GCCTCATCTGAGATCTTCAAGAAATCACAGAAGATTGAAGAGGTACCTGTAAACTGGCAAAGGCACATCTGGGTAACATTAGAAAGGAAAAGAAGTTACAGAAACTTTTAGTGCAGGCAAGTAGCTTCAGTCCTGAGAAAAAAATATTGAACTAGCCAGTTATTTTGCCATCATCAGAAAATACCACAAGAAAAACAACTGAGAGAGATGAACAACAGTCAGCAAGGATTTGTCAGGAACAAATGATGTCAAACCAGTCTAATTTCCTTCTGTGTCAGAATAACATACCTTATGGATGCTGCAGAAGCAGAAAATGTCATCTTTTTAATTAAGTAAGGCCTTTGATTCTGTCTCATGTAACATGCTCATAAGCAAGCTAGCAAAACATGAAGAAATGAATTTGCTTAAAATAGATGCAAAAGTTATCAGAAAGTTATATCCAGACAGCAGTTGTTCTCTGTTTAAAGAAGAAATTTAACAAAGCTGAAGGTCTATATTTTGGTCCTGTAATATCAAGATTTTTTTTCATTATTTAGATGAGAAAGGATGCTTATTAAATTTTCCGTAAATTAAGTAAGCTGGTAGAGACTGCAAACATTCTTTAGGGCAGGATTGAAATTCAAAGGGATAGTCACAAATGGAATGAAAAAAAAAGAAAAAGAAGAGTGCAAAAAAAGCAAGAAAGCTTTAGAAGGGTTAAGTAGGAATAGTCAACTGGATAAACAGAGAATGAAAAGCATCCTGAGCTGCAGTCCTATGAGCTAGTCGGGAGGCTATAGAGAAATTAGAAGGTGAATTTCAGTCAATAAAGTTGCAAAAAAAAATCCAAGCATAACTTGGGGAGACATGACAGGACTATAACTACAGAATTAATCTCTCAACTTCTACCTCTGTGGCATTACTGATGTACAGTGTAACATGATCAGTTTTAGGCAACAGAGATACACAGAATAATTTAGGCTGAAGAGTACCTCTCAAGATCATCTAGTTGAACACTACTCAAAGCAACACTAGCTTCCAAGTTAAGTCAGTTTGCTTAAGATCCTGATCAGATAAGTTTTGAAAATCTCCAAGGATTGAGATTTCACAGCCTATCAGAATCCCTGTTTCAGTGCTTGACCACTGTCACTCATGGTATTCAGTTAAAATTTCCATTGTTTCAACCTGTGACCATTGCCTCACATCCATTCACTGGTTACCTTAGAAGAATTTGGCTCTGTCTTCTCTACACAGTGTAAGGTCATTGAAGAGGACAACTAGTTCCCTCCAGTCTTCTCTTCTCCAGGCTTAAGCAAACCTCAGCCTCCCCTTGGGGGCGTGTATGTACACTGGGAGTGGGGATGAAGGGATGGAAGTAAGCCAATCCTCAAAATGACTTTTAAGGGAAAATGTTAAAAATTCCAGAGAAGAGCAACTAAGAATAATCAGAAGTCTAGAAAATGTGACCTGTGAGGAAAGATTGAAAGAACTGGCAATGTTTAGCTCAAAAAAGATAAAACTGATAGAAGAATATGGTAGCAGTGTTCAAATACATTAGAAAAAAAAAAGAAGTAGAGACAGGAAGAGGAGATTACCTTGTTCTCCACATCAATGACAGTTAGAACAAGAGGCAATGGACTTAAATTGCATAAGGGTGCATAAGATTAGATTAGGAAAAATTTCCTAAGGGTAGGGAAGGTGAAGTACTAGAACAGATTGCCTGGGGAGATTGTCAAATATTCATCACTGGAGAGTTTTAGAAACAGATTGGTAGAGTTTGTCCTGACACGGAGCACAGAACAGCCTTGTAATCAAGTCCTATTTTCTGTGCTTTTGTGTACATAGCTAACTGAAGAACAGTTCTGCAGCCCAGAAATACGGCAACTGAACAAGAATAAAGGATCCTCAATTTGATAAAAAACATTAATCAAAGTAAGTGTGTGCCAGCTTCAAGCAGAGACTAGAAATAATTTGAGGGGAAATAAAACATCAAAGTTTACTTTCTATCTTTCTAAAAAATACAGTACATTTATGATAAAGGTCTCACCTCCATCATTTTGTCAGAACTGGCAGATATTACAGAAGCAGCTGCATCTGCTTCCTCAATGCACTGATGCTCTTAAGATGAAACGAGTGTACAGAAGAGTATTGTGTGTGTGTGTGTGTGTGTATCAGAGAGAGCGAGAGATTTCAATGAGACAGAGACTCCTTCAGAAAAGATGCCAAATCCATTCTAGAATAGAAGTCTGTAACTGGAATGCTACAGGCTCTGTACAGGGGCCAAAGACATCAGCCAGCTAGAGAGTAATTAAGATTCATGTGGGAGACTGTGAAGAAAGCAGAAATTTATTCACATCACCCCCCTGCCATGTTACTAAGCCAACCAACTGAAGAGAAAAAATCCCCTGCAAAAATGAGAGTTAAAATTGCTGAAATTCTATTAAAGTCGTAGGAGACTTTAATAGGCTAGTATATCACCTGCAAATATGGCAGATGTGTAAGACTTCCCTCTACCTCCAGGAATACCTAATCAGAAATACTGTAAATGGCAGAGCTGGAAGGGCTAACAAAACTGAAAGAAACAGGCAGGGGGAGAGGAAGTGAGAGAGAGATGGTGAGAGACATATACCTAAGTAAAACTATAATCCAGTTACCTTAACAAATTTAACAAAATATTTCCTTCTGAACACATCTGTATGCTCAAAAGACAATGTCTTATGCTGAACAAATCACTCCTGATTAGACGTGTATTTCAGCAAACACACATGTGTGTTTATCCAGTAGAAACATACAGCAGGAGCTGGTGCTACACTGGACATCACCTTCTCAGTATGCAAAGAATTATTCATAACCTCAGGGAATAAAAAGAACAATAAAATCTAGAGGTAAAAGAACAGCACCCTGAAACATCACCATATCAGCAGAACTAGAGGCAAGCCAATTTTCTGCCATTAAGGAGTTATACTTGCCCCACCAGCAATGTGCATTGAGCACTTTACTCAATATATCAATGTGCATTACAATAGCCTCCCAAAATCCCAAGGAAAATATCTGCTTTCTCAGAAAGGATTACCTAGCAACATATTTTTATAAAATGCAGACTAAAATATGCATGGGCATCTTCCATCACACATATGTGCATATGTTGGATAAGATTCTACATGTGTTCAACAGACACCCACAGATGGTCTTCACCTGAACTGTAAGGACCCAGAGTTGTCCCCTGCTCACCAGTCACTGCTAAGAGAAAAAGCATCTCAGTCATCACACCAAATCTCTGACATGTGCAAGCACTGTTTAGAGATTAAGCTTTTAAAGTTGGTCAAGGTCATAACAGTCCTATGTAAAACTCAATGTCATTGTACAGCAATGAATAGCCATTCAAATTTTTGTCTCCATGGACCAACATTAGGAAAGTATAAACACTCAGTTCTAAAATATTTGCTGTTTCCCTTTGTTAGGCAGTTTCAGCTGAAGTCCCAGTGAAAAACAAGAAAATGCTTTTCCTTTTGTTGGAGTCCCTTGAGAGAAGACATTACAACAAACATTTTTAAAATTTTTCCTTCACAGAAAGTATCATACCAAAGAAGTGCAACATTACTTCTGTCACAGTAGAGATGTGTTACTGATTATTCATTTTAGACAGTAACTTCTTGATCATCTACAATGACTTTGAGAACTGTGCATTGTTTAACACACTTATTCAGGTTAGAACAAGACAGTAACATACAGCATCTATTTAAACTGTATGTTAAAAAAAAAGAATGAACACCAGAATTTGGTGCATCTCATCTTCACTTGCTCAAATCTTCATAACATGAGCACTGTGTCAGTCACTGCTTTACTTGGTTATTTTTTAAAAAAAACATGTTTGTGTTTTTCCAAGTTTAAGGGAAAGCAAAACAGTTCTAGTAGCTTAATGATCATCATTTTTTCTCAGATTGATGACACAGTGACCTCATGGCTAGACTTTGCGAACGAAGATAAGGGAAGGACACTACCCACGCTTGCTGCAAACACGCTAATGGCTAAAAAGACCAACGTGGAATAGGGAAGTCCAGTTGCAAAGTGCACAGCAGAAAGTCTCCTTAGGCGGTATTGGCAAGGTGCAGTTCTTTCAGTGTTGTCTTTTCTTCTCAAGACTGATTCTACATGCGTTCTCAAAGGAGACAGCAGCGTCATGAATGGTGTGTCTCCATGTCTTCCAATTGGAGGCCAGAGTAGACCACTGATGGTATTCAATATGACCAAAACTGAGGTATTGTTTTAGGGAGTCCTTGTATCTGCTCTCTGAGGCTCCTCTGTTGTGGCAGCCAGTGGCAAATAGAGCACAATCTTAGGGAGGCGGTGATCCTCCATCCCGGAGATGTACCCTGCCCAGCGCAGCTGCATCCTCAGCAGCATGGCCTCAATACTGGTGACCCCTGCCTGTTCAAGGACAGTGACATTAGTCATGTAGTCAGTCCAGTGGATGTTTGGGATTGTACGGAAGCAGTGATGATGGAAGCATTCGAGGAGTCGCAGGTGGTGGCGGTAGATGACCCATCATTCAGACCCATATAAAAGCGTAGACAGCACAATGGCTCTGTAGACACTAAACTTTGTACTTTTCTTCGGGTGTTTATTGCACCAAACTCTTTTATGGAGTTTTCCGAAAGCTCTATGTGTCTTTGCTAACCTGTTGTCTCTTTGTCAATCTTACCATCCAAGGAAATGATACTTCCTAGATAGTTGAACTGCTGGACTGACTTAAGCTCTGATTTACCTATGGTGATGTGGGGATGATGGAAGACTTCCTGTGGTGCAGGTTGGTAAAGAACTTCTGTCTTATTCAAGCTGACTTCCAGCCCAAAAAGCTCAGCAGCCTCTGCAAAGCAGGATGTTAAGTGCTGCAGAGCTGCTTCTGTATGAGCAACGAGAGTGGCATTGTCAGCAAAAAGCAGCTCGTGGACAAGGTGATTAAGGGTCTTAGTGTGGGTCTTTAGTTGCCTTAGGTTGAATAGGCTCCCATCGGTACAATATCAGATGTAAATGCCATTATCTTCATCGAGGTCTGCCGTGGCCCCTTGGAGCATCATGCTGAAGAAGATTGTAAATAGAGTTGTTTCGAGAATGCAACCTTGTTTCACACCATTGGTTATTGGGAAGGGCTCAGAGAGTGCATCGCCATATCTAACTTGGCCGCGCTGGTCCTCGTGTAACAGGATAATAATTTTGAGGAACTTGGGAGGGCATCCTAATCGTTCCAAGATCTGCCACAGGCCTTTTCTGCTCACAGTGTCAAAAGCTTTAGTGAGGTCAACAAAAGTTACATTGAGCCCTTTGTTCTGTTCCCTATACTTCTCTTGGAGTCGTCTGAGGACAAATACCATGTCTCTGGTACTCCTATTGGCTCTGAAACCACATTGGCTTTCAGGTAGAAGTTCTTCTGAGATAGCTGGTAGTAATCTGTTCAAAAGTATTCTTGCAAGGATTTTACCAGCAGTAGAGAGCTAAGTAATACCACGGTAATTTGAGCAGTCTGAATTTTCTTCTTTCTTCTTGTAAAGGGTGATGAGGACTGCATTACGGAGATCTGATGGTAGTTCACCTTTTTCCCAGTAACGCACAACGAGCTAGTGAAATTTAGACTTCAGGTGGGATTCCATCAATCCCATCTGCCTTGCCAGTATTCACCTGCTCTATGGCCTCAGGAGTCTCTCCTACAGTAGGGGCTATATCCAATTCATTTTTCACCGGCTGTTGTGTAATGTGCTGAATTGCTGAACCTTGGACTACACGGTTGGCACTGAAGAGAGTCTGGAAATGTTCAGACCATCAATTCAGGATAGAGGTTTTATCTGTGAGAAGCATTTGGCTATCTGCACTTAGTATTTGGCTTGGAACATGGTGTGTAGGTGTGTACACTGCTTTCAGAGCCTCATAGAATCCTCTGTAGTCACCCAAATCTGCGCATAGTTGAGTCTTTTCTGCTAGGTTGATCCACCACTTGTTCTGGATGTCTCGAAGTTTCCATTGGAGCTTACTGCATGCAAGACAGAAGGCTGCTTTTCTTACATGACAAGACGGCTGAGCAAGGCGTGCTTGGTGAGTAGTTCTCTTCTTTGTCAAAAATTCCTGGATCTCTTGGTTGTTTTCATCAAACCAATCTTTGTTTTTCTTGAAGGAGCACCCTAAGGATTCTTCAGAAGACTGGAAGCTGCTATTTTTAATATATTCCCAAAGCACTTCAGGAGAGGGATCTATGGGATGGTCTTCAAGTCTAGTTTGAAGATTTGCCTGGAAGTTGTCTCTCACTGTAGCTGTTTGAAGATTGTTAACTTGGAGCCTCCTTCTTGGAATGCTGCCCCTCTTAGGTTTAGGCTTAAAGTGGAGGTTAAGTTTGCATCGCAAAAGGCAGTGGTCTGTTTGACATTCTGCACTAGGCATCACTTGGGTATGACGGACATCGTGAACACTTCTCTGGCACACTCATATGTAGTCAATGAGGTGCCAGTGCTTGGATTGAGGATGCATCCAGGTTGTCTTCAAGTTGTCTTTCTGCTGAAAGTTAGTGTTGGTGATGGTGAGCTGCTGCTCTGCACAAAACTCTAGCAAGAGGCAGCCATTGTCATTGCAGTTTCCAACACCATGCTCGCCTAGTACTCCTTTCCAGGCTTCAGAGTTCTTTCCTACTCTGGCATTGAAATCACCAAGGATTATGATCTTGTCATCTACAGGAACCTTTTGGGTGATGCGGCGCAGGTCGGTGTAAAATTTGTCTTTTTCCACAGGGAAAGTATATGCTGAAGAGAGCAACATGTTGCTTGTTATGTAGTGGGAGGCATAGGGAGATGATATGATTGAAATGACCTGTCGGCAGTTTTTCAAGTTTGGAGGCAATGGAGTTTTTAATCATGAAACCAACTCCTGAGAGGTGACTTTCGGTTTTGCCTGACCAATAGAGTGTATAGCCGGCACCATGTTCTTTGAGGCTGCCTTCCTCATGGAGACGAACTTCACTGAGAGCAGCAATGTTAAGTCATGATAGCTTGTGGGCAATTAGAGCAGAACGATGCACAGGACGTCCACTATCCACAGTATCAAGCATGGTTCTAATGTTCCAGCATGCGAGTGTCAGTCTGAACACACCTTTGGAGGCAGGTGTATGCCTTTGTCTCTTTGTGTCCATCAGAAGATGCCTGTTGGCCTGGGTTAGCCAACCAGGTGGAGAGTGGAGATGAGCTTTGGTTAGGCCACCTCTCCGTGTGTAGCAAGCAGTGCTTTCCTTGAAAAAGGCTGCTTGGTCATTCAGGA